CACAACATTGTTCTCATGATGAGGAAAGCATTTGCTGTTTGAGAGAAGCTTTTCATTTAGCACTAAGACTCAGCTGAACCACTAAATTAATCATTAACCATTAATCACTAACCCTCATGTTAAGGATTTGAGATTTTCAGGTCACAGAAACTTAGACCAGAAAATCCACACTCCCAATTTAACTGACTAACATTTTGGAGTATATTCAAGGTCGCAATGATTCAACAAATGAAGGGCAGCATTACAGGTGAAATACTAAAGTGAGATGAATTTATCTTGTCTGACTCCACCAGTGTTTGCCCTCAGGAATCTCAGACCCTCAAGACAAGAGAGAAAATCTGGATCGAGGAAGACTTTGACATGGTCAAGGAGATTGGGTTAAATTGGGTTGCCATCGTTTAGGCAAATTTTATACACACAAATCCGTGGCCCTTGATGGGAGTGCACCCATTAGTGCTGCAGGAGCTGGAGGAAATTCTTGCTGAGCCACTCTGCATCATCTTTGGAAGGTCATGGAGAATGGCAGGGATGTCACACCACTGTCCAAAAAGGACAAGAGGGAGGAGCCAGGCAACATCAGGCCGGTGAGCCTCACCTCCATCCCTGCAAAGGTGTTGGAACAGCTCATCCTGGGTGTTGTGAAAGACACGTGAAGAACAAGAAGGTGATCAAGAATAGTCAGCAYGGATTCACCAAAGGGAAATCAAGCTTAACCAATCCAAAAGCCTCCTATGATGGWATGACTGGCTGGGTAGCTGAGGGGAGAGTGATGGTTGTTGTCTGCCTTTACTTCAGTAAGGCTTTTGACACAGTCTTCCATAACATCCTCATAGGCAAGCTCAGGAGTTATGGYCTATTTGAGGGCCCWGCGAGGWGGATTAAGAAMTGGCTAAATGGTGGYGCTCAAATATTTATATGATCAGTGGCAAAGAGTCAGGTTGGAGGYCTGTAGCTAGCGGTGTCCCCTGGGGTCAGTATTGGGTCCAATCCTGTTTGATTTGTTCATGAATGTGCATGAAGGGRCAGAGTGCGCCCTCAGCAAGTTTGCAGATGATGCAGAACTGGAGGGGATGGCTAACACCCAGGAGCAGTACTGCCTTTCGGAGGGATGTGGACAGGCTGGAGAGATGGGAAGAGAGCAACCTCACAAAGTTCAGCAAAGGGAAGTGCTGGGTTCTGCACCTGGGGAGGAATAACCCAAGACATCAGTACAGCCATGGGGCTCACCTGCTAGAAAGCAGATTTGCAGAAAAGGATCTGGGAGTTGTCGACAACAAGGTGACCATGGGTCAGCAGTGCCGTCGTGGCCAAGAAGGCCAGTGGGATCCTGGCTGCATCAGGAGGAGCGTTGCCTGCAGATCAAGGGAGGGGGTCCTGCCCCTCTACTCAGCTCTGGTGAAGCCACACCTGGAGTGCTGTGTCTGGTGCTGATCTCCCAGCACAAACGGGACATGGAACTACTGGACAGAGTCCAGAGTAGGGCTACAAAGATGATTAAGGGACTGGAGCAACTCTTAGCTTAAAGGCTGAGAAAGCAGAACCTGTTTAGCCTGGAGAAGAGGAGACTGAGAGGAGATCTTGCCGGTCTGTACAAATATTTTAAGAGTATTGAAACATACCATGTGTCAAGTGGATGGGGCCAGACTGTTTTCAGTGATGGCCAGAGATAGGACAAGAGGCACAAGCTGAAGCACAGTAAGTGCCCTTGACCTGCTGCCTGCACTTCTCCTAGTGCTGCCCAGGATGCAGTTGGCATTCATCACTGCAGAGCCCACTGCTTGATCTTGTTCAACCGGTTGTCCATCAGGACTCCCCCATCCTTTTCTGCAGAACTACTACCTAGTTAATCAGCACCCAACTGGTGCTGATGTGTGCAGTTATCCCAGTATCCCAGTCCAGGTGTATGACTTAGGGTTTTTTGGGTTTGTTGGTGTTTTATGAGGTTTCTATCAGGCTTTTCCTTCAGCTTGTCAAAGTCCTTCTAAATCATAGCCCTGCTGCCATCTAGTATATCTACACTCCCCATAATTTGACGTAACCTGAGAGCTTGCTGCGGTTCATCCCCTCATGCACATCAATGATGTTAAACTGCATTGGCTCCATGTTCGCCCCTGGGGAATAAAGTAACCAGCGATCACTTGGATTTCAAACTGTTGGTCTTTGAGGCCGATGAACCAGCCAATTTTTCAGCCACCTTGTAGCCTGCTTGCTCAAAACATACTTCCCCAATTTGGCACACAAAGCTATGAGAAATGAAGTCACAAACCTTGCTCAATCAAATTAAATAACATTCTCTGCTCTGCCCTTGTCCACGGTCATTTTGTTACGAAAGGCAATTGGGTTGATCCAGCATAGTTTGCACTCAGTAGCTACATTAAGATAGGTCATAGAAGTCCACATGTTGCTAGGTTTTTTCCTCAACATCTTATTTGGTCCCCATGTATTCAAAAAATAAGGAGATATTTACAAATCCACAATGAATGAGTTTATTGGAGGATGCTATTAATAACAGCCTGAAAATAATCCCCTGAATGGTGCAGCATCATATGGAGGGATTAAGTCTCTGTGGTCATTTTTAGTCTTCGAAAACAAGATATTTTTTAAGCCAGACTGATTTGGAGGTAGTTGTGAGAATGTTCTCAGAGGATCTTTGAAATGAATCTGTCCAGGGATGAATGCTTGCTTGGACAGCTCTCTGATTTGCGGAGAAGTGCCAATGCTCATAGAGGTCAGTCAAACAGCTGGAGTTCATTATACCAAAATTCTGAGGGAAAGAGCTCCAGCAAGACGACCCTCCATATTTATTTATTTATTTCAATTCTTAATGACACAGCTTTTTTTTTTGTTTGTTTGTTTGTTTGTTTGTTTGTTTTTTTGTTTCTGTCCAAAGTCAGTTTGATCAAAGGCTGCATGTACATGGAGGGAGCGTGGACTTCAGATATGATGAAAGAAGAGCAGCATGGTTTGGGAGGACTATGCACTGCTGGAGCAAAGCAGCCAGACCACAACAATCCTCTAAACTGCTGTCATCAGTGTCAGTRTACTCTGGAAAGACCATTAAATGTCATCTGCCCAAGGCATAAGGACTTGTCTGAGGGCTTAGCTGCATAGGAAAGTTTATTAGCAACTCCCAAACCATTGTATTGGTTGTACTGTCCTCATAATGTGAATAATGCCTTTCATTAACRTCACTTACCCTTCACTAAATCTTCCTGAGAAACACAAACTAAACTAAAAAAACACCAAAATGAACACAAAGCATTTCATGAAAGTCTTACGCACAGCTGAGGACTTACCTTGTTTGTAAACATAGGTTACTTTAAATGCACAGCTTAGGTTGTGCATTTATAAATGTTCTGATATTACCAGGCCTTATTGTTACTTCTTGTTTGTGGGAAAAGAAAGAATATGATGGATAAAATAAAACCAAGAAATGCAAATACAAACAGATATGATAGTTTAATATGTAAATATAATATTAGCAGCATGAATGTACATGTTTCTTCCAGACAGTTTGCTGAAATGGAGATCCATTTATTGCTTTTTATAGTTCAAATACTTGAGTTTTTTTTTTTGTTTTGTACCTCTGACCAACATAGGTAGCTTCTGAATGTATTTCAGTATGAGTGTTCAGGGAAGATACGCCGGGTCCTTTCCTGCAGAGCTGCTGTTCAGCCTGTCCTGGGGATTACTGCTCCCCAGGGGCCAGACTTGGCGTTTCCCTTTGTTGAACTTCATGAGGTTCCTTTCTGCCCATTTCTCCAGTCTGTCGAGGTCCCTCTGATCTACCAAACACTCCTCCCAGCTTTGTATCTTCTGCAGACTTGCTGAGGCTGCTCTCTGTCCCATGATCCAGGCGGTTAATGAAGATATATTGGCTCCTGTATGAACACCTAGGGGACACTGCTAGTGACTGGCCTCCAGCTGGACTTCATGCCACTAATCACAACCCCCTGAGCCACAATAACCAGATTTTAGTCCACTTCAGTGTTCATTTATCCAGCCTATACTTCAACAGGTTGCGTATAAGGATATTACAGGGAACAGCGTCCAAMGGCTCACTAAAGTCAATATGAAGAACGCAACCTCCAGTGCTCTCCCTTCACATACTGAGGCAGTCATCTCATCAGAGAAGGCCAGCAGGTCAGTCAAGTGCAATTTCCAAGTGTCTTTAGTGCCTGAGGATCAGAGAACAGCTTCTGTCATCGCTGTGACAATTCAAAGCCTGCTGATGGCAATGTCCCTGCAGTGTCAGGGCAGGCAGGTTGCCTTTTGCATTTGTAGCGGGCACGTCAGAATTATGTTCACAGTGCGGGAAAGTATAAAAGTCAAACAAAATTTGGAAATGAAAAATGTGCTGTGTGAATATCTTTCACATACTCCCCCCATATATTATGCTATATGGGGGCATACTGGTATATGGGTATGCCATATTATGCCATACTCCCCCCATATATTATGTCTTAAATGATGTGATCTCATGTGAGTGAGTTACCATTCATAAGGCTTACTGTTTAAGCTTGCTTTCTGTCTGCCTTATAAAAATTGAAATACCTGCACAGGCTGCCTTAATCACAGTCTCTTTGCTTTATAATCCTGATGTTCCTTAAAATCATTTCCTGAGCTGAACAGAGGAAAACGAGGCTGCCTTGCAGCTGCCTTGCTGCAGCTTCTGTGTCCCTGACTGCTTGTGCGGCGCTCCAGCAGCTCAACATTCCCCTTGTGCAAAGTTCAGGGATTTGTCACAGCAACATCTGAGTTTTGCAAGCAGCAGACTTGGTCCTCGTCCCASTTTCAAGGAAAACTTGTTCAGGCTTCTCCAGAACAAAGACTTGGCTTCCGTGCTTTGACATCTGTGTCCGTAGCAGTGATCAGCTGGCACGATTAATAAAAGAGGCCCCATTGATTGCTAAAAGAGGCTGGATAAYGCTGGCAAGCCCGGCGGTGCCCGGCGCGGGAGCAGGCGGAGCAGCCGCTGCAGCGGGCAGCGAAGAGGCAGCATGGCTCTTGCTCTGCTCTTGGCAGCAGTCCTGGGACTTCTCCTTGTCAAGGCTGTTCAGCTTCAGCTGCGGGACCCGGGCGCCCCTCCCTGCATCGGGAGCTGGATCCCTTGGTTTGGAGCTGCATTCCAGTTCGGGAAAGCTCCCCTGGAGTTCATAGAGCAAGCTAGAAGCAAGGTAATGGCTGTGACGGTGCGCCTGCTTGTGGGGGTATTCAGGGTGACTGCAAGGAGAAGGGAAAAGAGAAACCTCTGCAGTAAGTTTGCCCTTTACAAAATCAAGAGGCCCTTTTTTAATCTCACGAACATTTAGCTGACAAGGATTGTTTTTGCATCAGCAAAGTTCCTGAGTCCAGAAGCCGATTCTGGGGTGATCTCTGTGCTGTGATCATGCTGTCTGCTCCTGGYACCTCTGCCGTTTTGCAGTGTGTTCATCTGGCTCTCCTACTTTGGAGAACCCTGTGACAAATGCTGGGACCTGAAGCCTAGATTTTTATGTACCTAAAGTTAGGGGAGATAGTTCTGTTCCAGCATCCATATCAGTTGGTAGCCTGGATCAGTCAAGAGAGACACAGGCATTTCTGGCAGGCAATTTGTTCCACCCAAAAAAAAAATGTATGAAAGATGAGTGTGAAGACTCATCTCTGGGAAATGACTTTTTTTCTCTATGTCTGTCTATAGAGCAACCCTAAATAATCTGTTTGCATTAGATACCTAATCTCCAGACTCCTAATCGTAACTGACAGAAAACACATCTTCATATTTTCTGTTAGATGATATTATTGCTTAATGCTGATTCGGTGTAATCAGCACCGAAGAATTCCACACTGAAGGGTGGCACACTTGCAAAAACTGCGCAAAACTGAAACTGATGTAAAACCCTGGARTTCTTAAATAATAATAAATGCTAGATTTTTGAATTTGCTTTCTGTTTTTGAACTAAAAGATTTCATACTGATAAGCACTTCTTTGCCACTGTGGGTTTTATAAACTCAGAGGGTTAAATGAGAGCAGAGGTTCAAGTACATTCAGCTGATATAGGAGATATAAGAAGAGCATCAAGACCTGTGAATCTTGTAGTAAAACACATTGGAGTCACCACAGGATATGCTCCTAAGTAAGATCCACAGGATATGCTCCTAAGTAAGATCTTCTGTTCATTGGCTTTTGTGAGCTTAACAGGTCAGTTTTTACATTACATTAATATGTTTTTCCTTCATGTGTGCATACCATGTCAATTAAGTGCAAGATAGCAAGATGAATCCTTCCGTAACATTATAAAGAGTGGAGTATTTATTCATTATCTAAGGATGTACAGGACTATAAGAGATCTGCGTATTGAAGTCCGTTTGCCTACTGTTTCAGAAATTACGCCATGTAATCCTTTTAGTGAGCTGATTACGCCCCACCTAAAAACAGTCATAATTTATTTATTTCTTTTTAAGGAGGCTGTTGCAGAATGTTGTTGTTCTGTTGAAAACGTACTCAGATAGCAGTCAGGTTAAAGCAATCAGTCAGATTGCCCTGACTGCTCTTTCCAGGACAGTCTCTTTTGGGGACAGTTGTTTCGCCATGGCTTCACTTGCAACTTTTGTTGCTTTTTTTTTTTTTTCCTATCTTTTTTTCCAGGAAGCTCTCAGCAAAATCTCTTAAATGACTTTTTTTTTAAACAGACCCGACAGAAGAGTCATATTTTAGAGTGAAAAACACAGCATTCACAGTCTGAATGAATAAAGCTTTCACTTACTAAGGAGTGTGTTGAAATACCCACACAAACTTAGTGGCCCCAGATTCACTGATTTTGTTCATTTACCTGGAGGCCCTTTAGGCCACCCTTGGTGCTGTGGCAGCACCTACTAGATCTGAACACACTAAAAGCACTTGAAGGGCTTTATAAGCCCCAAAACCAAGTTTTGTTAGCTCAAGAAACTAGAACAAGAAACATTTTTAGTGAGAGCAAACCGGCAATCAGGCAGAGCAGAAGAGGTGGTTTTCTCACATGTCTCTTCTAAGTGTTTGCAGCAGGACCTTTCCTTGCCTTGGACTTTGTTCTTAGTCTAACAACTAGAGTCTTTCTTGATTGCAAACTCTCCTTGTGGTTTCCCTTTGGCAACAAGGGACCTGTCCATCCTTTGTTCCCAAGGATGACCATGTGCCTGCACCATGCTCTTCCCAGCAAGCTCCTGCTCCCTGGTGAAGCCTCCTCTCTTGCTGTCCCTTAGCTCTCCCTCCACAATCGAAGCTCTTCTGACTGAGCATGCTGATAGGCTCCAGAGAAAGCCTGGTCCTTACCTTCTTGGCACAGACGCCAGGAAAGATAAGCCCTTTTATTCATGCTTCTTTTTAAAGGACTCATCATTGCAGCATAGTCCAACCAAATCAGTCACTGTCCACCAACGGTGTCATTAACGGGCATTAAAAACGTTGACAAAATGTATTTTCAATCATTTTAAACTCTGTAATACTGCTAGAGGAAAGTTTGATGTCATTAATATGAGCAAGACAAGTGTGTTCAGAAACAGATTCTAGGTCATGTGGCGCACTCTTCAACTATGGATGTTGGTTTCTTCAAAGAGACTTTCAAAATTAGAAACTTTCTCCCCCAGATAAATCCTTCCTTCTTCCAAAGTGACAGTTATCTCTTTATCTGTCCTATTGGGTTAACACTTATTATCATTCCTTTTGTTTGTATCCCTCCCTGATTTCTCTCTCAAGTCRTTGAGTAACACGTTAATTCCCACTGTTTCCATTACGAACTTTGCTTGAACTCTGCAATTTCTCTTTTCCTCCTACAGAAGAACAAGTGGGCTGCAAGAATTGCCTCTCTTTCTCCATGTGTCATCTGCTCTAATAAAATATTTAATCTCTGGTCTAATAAAAGATACCACCTCCTCCTCCCTAAGCTGCCTTGGTAGTTAAAGTGGTTTTGCAGGTTGTCTGAAACAGGCAGTGATGTGCAACAGGAGTCGTTGTGCAACATGAATCTGCATACAGCTGCTTAACACTAGAATCAAAATCTATGGTGTCTCAGTTTGCCAGGAAAACAGGACAAGAGTAATGAGGAATTTCAAATGCTTCTCCTCATTTTATTATTTAAGGTCACAAGAAAGCTTTGGTAAATCCCTGGGATTAGTCTTCCTTGTTTTGGGAAGCTGCAGGTCTCCCTTCAGCATTGTTATCAGTGTTGAGACAAGGTGCCTCACACCAGGATTCACTTTATCCACCTTTCAACCTTGTTCTCCWTGTGAGATGATATGATGGGGCTCTGGCCCCAGGCACAGCTCTCCAGAAGACCACAGATAAGATAAGGTGCTTAAGTCCCTGAAATAGAGAGCTCCAGGTTTGTCTGTACATTCACAGAATCACAGAATGGTTGAGGTTGGAAGGGACCTCTAGAGATCATCTAGTCCAGCCCCCCTGCTCCAGCACGGACACCCAGAGCACATGGCACAGGGTGACRTCCAGGCGGGATTTGAAGATCTCYRGAGAAGGAGACTCCACAAGCTCCCTGGGCAGCCTGTGCCAGGGCTCTGTCACCCTCACAGGAAAGTTGTTCTTCCTCACGTGGAGATGGAACTTCCTGGATTTCAACTTGTACSCATTTCCCCTTGTCCTGTCACTGGCCACCACTGAGAAGAGCTTGGCCCCTTCCTCGCTACATTCTCCCCTCAGGTACTTAGACATATTCATCAGATCCCCTCTCAACCTTCTCTTCTCCAGGCTAAACAGGCCCAACTCACTATTGAGTTGGGACTCACTTTCCTCATAGGATAGATGCTCCAGTCCCTTAATCATCTTGTTCAAAATCATCAAATCATCTTTGTTGCTCTGTGCTGGACCCTCTTTAGAAGCTTTTACACTGAGGAGCCCAGAACTGCGCCCAATCCTCCAGGTGCGGCCTCACCAGAGCTGAGTAGAGGGTCAGGATCCCCTCACTTGACCTGCTGGCAACACTGCTCCTGATGCAGCCAGGATCCCATTGGCCTTCTTGGCCRCAAGGGCACACTGATGGTTCATGGCACCTCTTCCCAAGGGAAATAAACAGCTCAGGGCCCCTAATTCCCCGTGTGTCTTGACTCAGCTGCGTCTGTCTCAGCCTACAGTGATGGCTTTCAATGTGGCAGCACCCATGGGTAAAATGCTGTTTCTACATCCCTTGCTTTCCTCCTTTGGGATTCTGAAGAACCTTCTTTAGCAGTTTCTTTTTTTCCTCCTGAATGATACTTTCATGCGAGCATAGGTCTGCCTCGTGATGACACTGCTATGTACAGTGTTTCCCATTCTTCAAGGAAAAAACCCCACTATTTTCATGAGTGAAAGCAGCTTCTGAGGCCCTAATTGCAAACACCCTTTTCAGTTTGCTTTCTCTCTATATATAACCAGTTCTTCTGCAATGCTGTTTCAGACAGGGCTGGCATCTGGGAACACAATGTGGGCAGGTGACAACCCATGCTCCTGTTGCAAYGTGTGCATGGGCAAGAGAGGTGAATGCAGAACTCCTTCGACAACAGTTTCAATAGCTGATTTCAATATTAGAACATCAGAATAATTATACCAGGACAGAGGAAAAGTCTGTTTCTTCAGGCATCTGTTTCTAGTAGTGGCTGTTAGGGATGCTTAGTAAAAGGGTGCAAGAAACCCAACTCCAGGATAGAGGATGCCTTCTCTGACCTTCCTTCCAGCCTTCTAGCAGTCAACAGCTTCAGGACTTTCTAGGCTGGACTTTGCATCTAGAAATTGATACTCTCCTTCCCCCTTTTTACCCTATTTATCGTTTTGACTTGTTTGGCATCTTGTGGCAATGAATTCCATATTTTTAAGTATGTACCACATGAACAAGTATCTACTTTTGCCTCTTTTTAAATTAGCTAGCTTATGGGAGGTGCCTCCTCCTGTTTTATAATATGGTAAATAGGGAATAATTCATGTCTTTTCATTTTTTTCAGGCTCAGGTGTCTAAATCTATTTGCTATCTTTTACTGAAACATATATTTTTGCTCATCCCTGCTCTCCATCCCTGCACTTTTCCTAGCTTGCTATATCCTTTCTGAGATGATATGGGCAGAAATACATATRAAGGTAGAGGTGTGGGAAAAAATGGATTTAGATGATGTTTGCTGTACCTTTTCCATTCCTTTCCTAGCAATTCTGTTTTCTGAAAGGTATGTTATTGCTTTGAACATCCACCTTCATTGTGCTGTATAACTGCACTGAGTTGTTCTGGCAGCCTGTTTTTAATTATGTTTAATTTAATGCTGTTTAATTTGAACTATTTTAAATAGATTGCAGTAAATTGAATAGCATTCAAATCAAGATTAAGRCATAGAATTTCGGGGACCGCGTTGTCAGATGAACCAGATTTTAGGCTTCCCTGACTGTGTAGACTAAGTCTCCATTGACTACAATGGGAATTTAAACATCTTGCTCACAAGTAATTGCCTAAAATAAATAAAGTATCACAGTCTTTAACTGAATGACCTTTATTAGATAATTACGTTCTATTGCAGATTGCTATTACCTAATGCTATTTTATTTAAAATTAATTTGATCCATACTCACATTAATTTTAAATTAAAAAATCRGAATCAAAGCTCACATGGCACAAACACACTGAGTTTTATCCAGCCAGATGCTCACAACATGCTCTTAACCATGAACCAACAACCTGAGCAAGCTAACTATTATTACAGCAATCTTTATTTGTTATCACCCAGGGAGTTTAAACAGCCATTCTTTCTTTAATAAATTGCAGTTGAAAGACACAGTAAAAATTTAATTGATGTTGAGGGGAATCTTTTCTTTAGCTTTAAAGCACTTTGGACGGAGTAGGCTCTAGAGTACTGAAACCACAACAGGAGAAATGGTTAAAATAGATTATATCAGCAGTGTAAGCAAGGAGGAGTCAGGGCTTTCTAGTACTCCCATTAGGTCAACAGAAAACTTACCTTCGCCCTAGTCAGTGATATAACAGGAAATAGAAAAGGAAATTCCTTGATATGTTGAGAGACTTTGTGTAAGTCACAAACCTTTTCATTTTTACAATAATTTTACCAAAAGGCTGCAGTGTGCACACTAGTCTAAGTACCAGGCTTTCAGTTTCCAAAGGTTTTGCCTCTGATCAGAAATCAATTTCACTAAGAAAAAGATCCCCAATTCCTAATTCTGATTTCCCACCTAAATCTCTCCTCCAGCAGATATTGCACATCTRTTTGCCCATTTGAAGTATCCACAAATATCAATGAACTTTTTATGACACAGGAATTTGGAAGTGAATTCTTATTGCTGAAAGTTTTGAGGGGGATCTAGGAGGTTAGAGAAGMTCAAGGGAAAACAGGACAAAGATTTATAGTACCAGAAACATTCCTTGGCACGACGAGCTCAATTGATCCTGCTCAGGTTATAAGCTATTAAAATTAACCTGTAACACAGTCTGTAATCACCTACTCAATAAATATTTTTTTTGGTATGGACAGACGATTTGAACTAGAGTAAAAAAGAAGGTATAAGAGGACCCAGCAATGGGAAGTGTTAGTTACAAAAATGCAGGCTGAAATAGGTGGAGCTTTATGTTTTGAGTGTGAGTGCTTTGCTATGGCAGCCAAGGGATACTGTAGATAGTTAATCACTTGGTTCTTCAAATCCAGGTGGGCTTTTGTTTTTTGGGACTGTAATTTATTTCAAACATAAAATATTGGGCTCAGAGAAGGAATCTTCTATTTTATAAGAGGACAGGCAGGCACCTGTAATTCTGCATTTTGATCCATAATAAGTCTACACAGTTTGCTGTGATTCATATTAATCTTTGATTACTTCTGAACCTTGGGTACTGATAGCTGAAAGGAACAGGATGACTTGCCTGACCTCTCAGCATTAGTGCAGTCCTGTTGGGGCTCTTGTCAAATGTGTCAGCATTAAAGTAATGTAAAATCCTTGTCTGTTCCAGTATGGACCCATATTCACAATATTTGCTCTGGGAAAACGTTTTACTTTCGTGACTGATGACAAAGGGGCTGAAGCTTTTTTTACATCCAAGGACTTAAATTTTGAGCAGGCAGTTCAACAAGCTGTCCAGAATGCAGGTAAATGGGATCTCCTATTTTTCAAAATGAAAGTCAAATCTGTTTACCCGGAAACATTAAAGATTTCATCCAAAGCCCTTTGGCTTTTTGATCATTAAACGCCTGTCTTAACCTATGACCATACTACAAAACCAAAGGGAAATGCAATTCATCATGTTCTTCTCTGTGATACAGGCTTTAAGGTTTTTGAATCAKAGATTTCTACTGCTTCTATCATCAAGCAACTCTAATTAGAGATTGGTACTTTTTATGCACCTAGACACTCTGCCTAGTTGTACGAGGTCTGGAGCAATAATATGCTATCGTGTCCCCTGATTTGGAATATAGCTAGCAGTAATAATTAGTTATCTTTCAGGGCAGCTGTTATTAGAGCCTGATGTGGTACCTCCCATGCCCAGTAATATATCATTGGCATATATRTCATTTTCATAAAATGATAGATCATTTTCACTGTATCGTTCTGTGAAAATCTACCTTGACCACTTTACAAAACATATTTCTGTTTCTTTTTTATTTGAAGTTTCTGTTCCTGCAGAAGCGTTTTATCAGAACCATGGTAACCTCTACACCATGATGAAGGGAAAAATGAGTCCTTCAAACCTGCCCCAGTTCACGGACACGCTGTGCAAAGAACTACATGAGTACATGGGACACCTGGGCACCCAGGGAACAGGTGACCTCAATGACCTGGTAAGGTGAGGGAATTTTGCAACACATCTTATACACAGCTATCCTCTATGTGAGCAGAAATATTAGCATAAACCTATGCCCTAGGAACTCAGGCCCTCAGGTGTTAGAAAAAGTGTGTCGAGATACAGTTACGAAGCATCAGGTGGTTTACAGATTGGACAGGGTTTCATCCAAATATCTTTCACCCAGCTAGGAGAACCATCAGAGGTGTSTATTTTGAAGAAAAGAAAACATCTTCCAGCAAATGCTATTTTCAAAAAGATGGAGTAAAAGCATAAGTTTTTATAAAGAACTTCTGAACACACAAAATGTTTCCCCTTCAAAAGGTTGAAAAATTCCCGTAACATCCAGGAAGATGATATAGACTAGTATTGGGCCTGTTAAATAAGACCTTTGCACCTGATTTCTTCCTTCCTGAACTTCTTTCTTACTGTGAAAAAATCCCCTGACAGCCTCACAAGAATGTTTAATTCCCTCTCCTTTCTGATTACTGTGGATAACCTGTGTCTTGCCTCTCCATCAAGATTATGACTTAAACATTGCCTTTGGCTTGGCCTTATCTCTGAGATGTCATATCCAGGTTGTCTTTTGCCAACTTTTTCTGCTTAAAACATTTAAGATAAAGCTTTTCACTTCAACTAAAAAACTCACTGGGCACTTACCATCTCAGTGCATGCAGTGTGAATTGACTAGGGTAAAAGGTAATGTGTTGGAGCCCTCAGTCCCACTAATCTCAAGAGATGTGGACACCCCCACATCCTGGGGTGTTTCCCCACCTCTCCTCAGAGGCCAACATCTCATCTGCTTCTGCACTGATATCCTTTTCATTGGCTCCAGCAAACACAGCTTTCCCCTGCATGTGTCTTTCCAGAGCCCACCAGCAAAAGACGTTTTCAGAGTCTGTGGCTTGGCTGTGCTCCACTTTCTTTTCTTCCACACTGTCCCTCCATTCCCAATTAACCCATGCTAATATGTCCTTTATTTTCCCTGTCATGGTCTTTTGTAGTCTGCGTCTGCTTTACTTTGTAATTCAGGATCAAAGGGTGCAGACTCTGCTCTGTTTTTGTTACATATTTGCAGAGGTACCACTTTCGTCTCTGCCAATTCTACTCTCCTGTGAGGCCTCATGAAAAAAATGGACAGTCATCTAATTAGTAGCATGTTACACCACTGACTATGGTGCTAATACCGCCTCGTATTTTCTTGCTTTCACTCTATTTGAATCTATCTGTGGTCAAGTTTTTGAGGTCAGGGACAGACCTGTTGCTCTGTGCTGTACTGGTACCAGCACAGACCATGGGCTAAGACAGGGTCATTGGAGACTGGGTTGTGCAAATAATACACAGGGCATCACTCCATGCTGCATTCCTGATGCAGCCATGGGAAGCAGGGAATTCTTCCCATTGGCATGGCTGTCACCTCCTCTGGCAGTCTTAGAAATTAAGCTTATTTATATGAATCAAATGTTATTTGTCTAAAATTTGAAACACCAGTCATAGCCTGGTCTATAAACTGCAAGATCCRCAAGAATTATCCACAGTAAATCTGTGTTGAGTTTGATCAGTTCTTAGCATTTTTCTAAACAGGAATGAGTAAGACTTGAAATACAACATCGTGAATAATTTAGCTGCCTTGAAGTTGAATCCATAAAGCCAGCAGGTGGCTCCATTTTCCTTAGGATCTTTCAAGAACATGAAACAATTATTGCCTGTACCCATTTAGCTGGAATCTGTAACAATTTACTGGAGCTAATGTGTGCACATGGGATGGCCTAGGAAAGGAGCTGGAAGTTTGATGAGCCGATAGGGTAGGAGTGAGGGAAACAAACAAACAAACAAAAAACCCCAACAAAAACAGCATCTTTCTTTCCAGCCAAGTAACCAGAGAAAGGATTTCTGTTGGTGCCTGGTTGCAATATCCAGGAAGTCAGGGTGGGCTAACCTGAAGTTAGGGATATGGTTAGTAAGGAGGAGGGGGCCCTCAATGCACAAGCTGACCAAAGATGCCTCAGCACTCTGCCACCCTTCATGGGAGCAAATGTTAACAGATGAAATTCAGCTGCATACGGAGGATTAGCCTTAGATCTGTGTGTCTCTGTCTTAAATCTGTGTACCTCTGCTGTGAGGTACGAGCCTTGTGCTAGCCCTTCCATACAGCAATAAATCCCACAGCTTCTTATGTTGGCAGCTCACTGAACTGCTAGGGCCTGAGCCACAGGCCCAAGTTGGGATTGACTTGCAGCTGAATACGGCCCTGCTTTTGCAGAAGCACACAGAACTTGCCTGTAAATTGCTTCTGCTAACCTGCATTTAGGCTCATAAAGCTGCAGCTTTTGTAGGCTCTCGGGCAAGCGTTTCTGACCTTGAAGGGAATTTTCCCATCCAAAGCTGGGGATCTGGCCAGGTCCTGGTGCTGTAAGGATAAGGATCRTGCTGTGCTATAAGGATAGTAGGACATACCACGTTACCACTAATAAAGAAAATGCAAGTTTTGCTGCTTCGGTTTTATAAAATCTGGACCCTCTTATAGCAACTTTAGAGACCTCACATACGGGTGGACGCGCCGTGTAAGACCTCCCAATTGCCAGGAAGGGTCTCCAAATCCTCACTGCAACGGGGACTCCCCAGCAACTGCAGATCTGAATGACAGTAGTGTATTTAGGCAATTGGTGATATATCTTTTTCTTAATTACTATTGTTCTTCTCGTATAGTAATGGTTAAGTGCATTAGCTTGCTTACTTTGTCCAGAGCTACAACCTGGCATCCAAGCTTCATTAGATGTATCATTTTATTTCTGTATTATTTGATATTAATAGTAAACACAACCATTTTTTCCCTTGGTGTTTGGTTCTTTCTGCCACCCTCCCAGCAATTGGCAAAACACCACACTGTGTCCTGGCCTAAAACTGCTGCAGGAGCTGCCCCGCGGACTCACCTGAGCTGTGACACTCACTGTCCTGTGCTTGCAGGCACGTCATGTATCCAGCAGTGGTGAATACTTTGTTTGGAAAAGGCATCTGTCCAACGAGCCAGAGCGAAATCAAGGAGTTCCAAGAGCATTTTCAGAAGTACGACGAGGACTTTGAATATGCCTCTCAAATGCCTGAGTGTTTCCTGAGGTGAGGAGCAGACACAGTGCACATGGCACCGCTGGGTTTGGTTTGCTTGCTGTGGTACCAGCCACGAGCAGCCTTCCCTTGGAGGGTGATGTGCTGCCCCATCACAGAGCTGSCCAGAGGCAGCCAAACACCAAAGACCTTGCAGAACCTGCCAGTGATCTCAGGGCCATGGCAGCACCTTGGACCTTGCACTCTCACCAAGCACCTAAAAATTGCCTTCAGAGAGAACTTAGAATGCTTCAAAAATTAGGCCTTTCTACTCTCAGTGAGGGATCGTTCCTGAAAAAAATGCCCTTTCCAATTCACACAGAAGAAATATGCTGGAAATGATGTGAAAATATGGTAGTCTCAAGTCACAGGTCGTGTCTGCAAGATGAGACCTAGTCAATGTAGGCCCTGAGCAACTGATATTCTTCATGTGAACCAACACTGTTGTCAGTCAGACTGGCACCTGACTGTTGATCAACTGACTGTTGCCCAGGGGGTTTTGCAAAGAAAGCTGGGAGTTCTTCCCATGGAAAAGGAAATGTTGCCTTATCCTGCCTCGGTTAAGTGCTTCTTGTTTGTTTCTTTTCTTTACAGAAACTGGTCTAAATCCAAAAAATGGCTTCTAAAATTATTTGAGAAAGTGGTGTTGAATGCTGAGAAGACTAACCCTTCAGAAACCACTTCCAAGGTAAACATCTGAGGCTGTGAARTAGATGACTTTGCTGTATATTCTGGCTGGCAGAATGAAGGGCAGGAATAATTTCTGGAAGAAATAGGCCCCATGTGTCTGCTTTTATAGCTATACCTTAATTATGCAGTACTGCTGTCATCTGTGTTAGGTGACTCTAGATGTTTTAGCCCCACTCCTCAATTTAATTTGTTGCTTCCAGTTCTGAGAATTGACATCCTCCTCTGGGGAATTTTAAGCCAAGGGACTAGTGTTATGACTCACTGCCAACCTCTGGTGCCATAGGCACAGCGAGCAGTTGAAAGAGTCAAGAGAAAGACCTCTTCAGTTGCTTTTCCTGGGGGACTGGGCTGTTAAATTTCAAATCTTGTGTGCACTATTTTTAAGCCCTGATGTAGASTGAGTAGATCCGCTAATGGCCAGACTATGAATAAAAGGCAGATTGCTGGATTGGAAGCCAGGTAGCCTAACTGTTGATTGTGCCAAAGCTGTGATACGTTGTCCTCTTGGTTATTCTCCTTAGCTATGGCAGCAGTTCTGTCAATACAGCTGACAAGAGCAAGGGCCTACTGGGCTGGGAATTTTGATCTACCAAATGATTAAAGAGTAGATTTTTAAACAACTCAAATTTTATTTAAACTTTAGAAGTTTTACATACCACAATATCCTTTATATAATCAAAGTAAGGAAATTTAGCCTGAAGAATGGCAAGAAACAGAAGGCTGGGGAGAGGATCGTGGGAGGTAAAAAGGTGCAGGAGACACCTGCTCACCGTCTTTCATTGTGGGAAACTTAGATAAAGCAACAATCACTTTCTATTCAAGGTCAGACTTTCTCCTTTGAAAATTAGAGAAGTCTTCCCTGGATGCCTGGTCACCTTTCATTTAATTAAATAGTATAAAGAGAAGCTGCTACAYAGTTGCTATGGTTTCAAAGATATCAAGCTAATGAAGTCACTAATACCTGAAACTTAAGAGTTTGCTGATAGGTCAGACCACCCCTTCATAACAATTACTTTTTTGCAGGCACATACAGAATGTATTATTCATTTCCATCCATACAATTTGTTCAAYCTAGCTTTCAGGTTATTAAAGGTTATTAAAGATTATCTCAGGTTATTAAAGCACAGCAACAGGGCAGGAATTTCTAAGAAAAAAAGTTGTTTTTTTTTTTTTCATTTCCATATACAATTAACAATGAGGAGTGAGGTCCACTAAAAACCTTAAGAAAATGGAAGATAGCACAAGTATCAGTAGGGATTTATATGGTGCACTGAGTACTCTTGGCCTTCTGCCTGTGTCCCGTTGTCTCTGTACAGCCTTGTTACCTCTCTCATTTTTGGCTCCAAACAGACCATAGCTAACATTATTTCTCTTTGATAAGCTACTGGTATATCCTTGCATTTTGGTACACTCTACTCTACACTATATTTTAATATATTTTTAGAAATTCACATCATTTTTTTTCAATTCTGTCAGACACTACTGCATCATCTCCTGGATAATTTACAGGGAAGACATCTGGCTCCCAGTTATGGTCTCTTAATGCTGTGGGCTTCCCAAGCAAATGCTGTCCCTGTAAGTATGTCAGCTGTAGAAACAACTATTTCTTGTTCAAAAGCCTGTATTTGGGAAGCAAAGACTTTGAACTAGAGGTCATACACACTGCATATATTCCAAAGACAGGATTATCACACCCACAYAGATGACTACAAATAGACCCAGGTTGTAATGTCACAGAAACAATGACAAGAACTTTTCTTCTATTTTTCCTAAGTTGTACTGTCCCCTATCATAACAACATTTCAGGAACGTATCTTCCGTACATATAAATACATGAAATAACTTATTTTATATATTAAGATCAGAGTACTAAGCTGTGAAAAGCTTAGTTGTTTAATTCAGCTATTGTTCTGAAGCACTATGTCTGTTTTAGAGTAGAGAAGCTGTTTTGAATTTTCTGACATTCTCAATAATAAAAATATCAAAATCATAATAGAGGGTAACCTTATCTGAGTAAGCCTACTGAGAACAAAGAACTCTCTATTCCGTGAGTGAATTTGGCTGTTTCACTTTAAGGGCTTTATTGTATAAATATCTGCTGCTTCAGAGGAGGAAAGGCAGCAGTTTGATTCTGTTGGCACTTGAATTTTGACAGTGGTATAAATGGATTTGATGGATTAATGATACAGAGGTATGTGTGCTAACAAACCCAAAATATCTAAATGAATTAGGCTAACATAATGTATGTATAAAAATTTCTCAAATGAAAAAATCATAGCAAGAAAAACATCTTTTATTTACCATGGCACTAAGCTGATTGTAGCATACTTATATCTATTACAAATGTGATTTTAAAAAAAGATAATGAGTTATTTTATAGGTACTGCCAATAGATGTATCTTTATTTTTTGTAAATTGGATATTGCTACAGTTTACCCTGAAGTAATTTCATTGAGGTGTCTGTGGATTTACTTGTTGGTATAAGTGAGAGGCACAGCCTGCTCTGTGTTATCAGGATAACTGACATTCCTTCCATAACACTATCATTACTTACTTCTGTAATATTCAGCTCTAAATAGACATACAGATATTTCCTTGTTTCTCAGAATAGTCACAAGCCACTGTTCTGGTGACGGGAATTATGAAAAGGGACCTTTCACCTTCCCAAGGGTATGTTCACAAGTTAAACCCTTTCATCTGAAGCAATGCAGTTACCCTTTYTCAACCTGTACAGTGAAGACACGTTGTTCAGTTGCTGTGCAAGAAAAATAAGCCACCAGATTTGTTTTACAGAAGTACATTGCATCAGTGTAGGACTATTTGTGTAATAACAGTAGGAGTTCTCATCCCTTTTCCACACAGATGGCCCATGACCAGATTTGCATGCAGACTAGGTCTCTTTCTAGCTGGCAAGAAATACTCCTGGCAGTGCTAGGAGTCCCTCTGATTTCATCCTGCTTAAGAGGATTTTCTGTTCTCCTAAATTTCTTGATTTTCAACTTCATTGCATAATCAGTTAGCAAATTATTTCTAAAGGGGATATACCGCCCTTTGTTTTTGCTGTTAATTAAAACTTCTCCTGCCCATTTCARTACGAGTCACAGTGACAGTGCTCTGCAAGTTATTTAACCTTTATTTCTGTTAAATTAGTAGGAATTCAGTACCTATTTTTTTCCATTCTGGATGCTAAATCTAATCAATCACATACAATGACTCTAATTTAGGAATTAATTTTAACATCTAGTTGTTTGAAATTAGAGAAAGGCTTTTGTGTTTCAAAAATCAAAGCAGAAGCCATTTAAGGCTCACTGAAGAGGAATTTGTAAGCACACAGCAGATGACCAGACCTAATCTCCCAGGAGCTGAGCCTTCTGCTCTTGTTATTGAGTGGTTACTTGCCTAATATTGCTATTGAATTGGGCAGGGTAACTCCAGTGCAGGAAGAGAGCTCCACATTCYGGCCTTGCCGCTGTAGCCTTCTCTCCTGGGGCATTTGAGCAGACACAGGGACAAATGTTCTCAGTAAATTTACACTCCCAATAACTGAGGGGAACTGAGAGCAGTACACATTTTGTACCAGCGGTAGTTGTTAGTATGTGATACATGACATTTGTTTGCCTGTAACTCTTACTTTCTTTTTTATTTAAAACATAGATCAGATTTGCATACCATGTTATCATCCGCTGTCTTGGCCTGATTAAAAGAGGAAGTGGGATAAAAATGAGATKCATAATCCAGAGTCTTTCTTTCTAAATTCCTTTATATAATATTACAGTTCCAGCAAATCAGTAGAGGTCATCTGTTGTACAGTACTATCTTGCATGTGGATGTGCTCAGGAAATACAGTTCTCTGTGTATCTCAACAACACCAGGCACATACAGATAAATGCAAATATTTTCACCTGCCTCAGTGACTGGCTACAAACATACTTACAAGCTGTAATTCAGTTCTGTATTCCTGAGTTAAAGTACTTTCATCTCTGTTTAGATTGCATTTTGGACCGTTGCTTTCATACTGTCCCATCCATCCATTTACAAGAGAATCATGGAAGACCTGGCTTCTGTTTTTGGCAAAGCAGGTAAGAAAGGAACTCTTCTGGAACCTAGAAATGTTTTCTTCCCCATTGGCCCAGCATATGGCACACTTGGTTCTTGGCTGGGAATTTTGAATGTTGCTGTTAAGGGARCTACTGAAAACAGCGGGTCAAACTGTGAGTTCTTTACTCATCATATGCTAATGACTTATTTCTATGCATAACCACCTCTGAGAATTATTAGCAAAAGAAGGTAGGATGCATTTATCGGCTCCTTCCACACCTACCATTTAGAGCTAGTTTTGTGCTGGCCATTCTCATGCTTCTTTTCACACATCTGTGATGGAGTCAGGTGAGAACTTCTAGCTCAGCTGCATTTCATGGCATGTGCATGCCATGTAACTCACTATGGAAACGCAATGTGGTGAGTTGTAACTCACCAGAATTACAACTATTCCATTGAAAAAAAAAACAGGCCAGGAACTGTTCTCTTTCATCTGAGGCCAGCTGGTGCAGCATGATTCACTCCAGCATGTCTAATATTTCTTTCCCTCAAAACACATTCACCTTTCGGAGCAGTCATCCATGTGCAGTTGCCTGAACCATGTTTAGAATTGACATGAATCAAGACCATGTCAGGAAAAATGCCATTGATTAAACAGTATGGATAATCATGAAGCAATGTTTGAGCTTTTCCCCTGGCTCTCTTTTATTTACTAGCATCAGTGTAGCCCAAGAGCTTCACCGTGACACTTCATCTTGATGCCTACAGTCCCTGAGATAGTATCCTACCCAAGTATTTAAAAAATCCAGAGGTACATAACTACCAAGATGAGCTTTGTTTGACCTGGTCTGGCCAAGGCCATATCTACAGGTATTTAGCAGTTATTAAAATTATCTTYAAAGGTATTCCTTATCCAAAATGAACTTAAGTTGTAGAAATTTTGTTCTATGTATTTACGTAGAAATAGAAAATCTCTGGATGAAGACAAGATCCTAAGTCTTGAGGCATTCTGTCAGAAACTCTAAAACAAGATATGTCAATGTGAATCAAGTTAAGTATGAAATCTAATTTTTACCCAGAACCTTCTTCCTCATGCTACAACAGGTAGAGATAAAATAGAAGTCTCTGGAGATGATCTTAAGCAGCTCCCTTTTATTAAGTGGTGCACTTTGGAAGCCATTCGGCTGAGGTCGCCAGGAGCAATCACCAAGAAAGTAGTAAATCCGATTAGAATTCAGGTGAGATGCTTTTGTTTGTTTGTTTTCCAAAAGAATATTATATGATTCTTCCAGAAAAGGCCCTCTCAGTAGTTCTAGATGAATTAAGTTGTTGAAACAGAACAACTCAGGAGGAAATGTTTAGTGAATTCAATATAAGTTTTTCTACTTTGATTTAAAATTGTTTCTCCTTTTCAGAATTTCAGCGTCCCTGCAGGTGACATGCTGATGTTGTCTCCATATTGSCTGCACAGAAATCCAAAATATTTTCCTGACCCAGAAATGTTCAAACCTGTGAGTTGTGAGCTTTTTTCTTCTCATTGTTGTTATTTTGTTGTCTTTTTTTTCACATATTTCACACCTGAAGTATACAGTCAAGTTTGCTTGAAGTTGGGTATTTACCATCCTTTGAAGGAACATGACCTCACGTACAGAGAAAATGATGGAAAAAGAAATAAGCAAGACTAAAGTTGTTATATATTCTGGATTTTATATATGCATAAATATCTACACACACACATATATATATATAAAGTGATAAAATTTTGATGATGATTCAAAACCCATCAAGGAAAGACTCTACTGACTTCACTGTTGAACCAATCTGCAAGTGCTCTCCTCTACCTGGCATTTGTTTGTGTATCTCATCTGCATGTATTTAGCCAGGTTCTTTGGTCCTTCCAGTCAGATGATTTCAGGTAGGTATTAGCTCTGCTAATTCAGTAGCTCATCTAGAGTTTCTTTCTTATTATTCCATTCCAAGTGGCTGTGTGKGCAGGCTTGTAGCTGCTCTTTTTAGCACTATCTGTTTGTCTCTTTTTAGAAATATGTGAAGGAGTAATTAAAACTCCCCTTCTAGCATACTCTTCACCAGTTTGAAATCCCTTACTTTTATGGTAACTTGATAACTTTATTTGAAGAAGAAGACAAAAAAAACCTAGATGGTTATTTAGAAATTCATCCTTCTTCCAGCAGAACAGGGCAGTCTCCCTTGGATATTGCCACTCTGAATTGTATTGCTTTGCTCTGTCACCTCTGAGACAGCYGAAATACTGTGCACTTGTGTGCACACTGTCTTAGAAATGGCTTGTAGGAAGGACATACAGCAGGTGTGTGTTGAAGTACTAGTTTGGGATTGACAAAAGACACTGATCAAAGTCATTTTTGAGTGCACTTTTTGAATGTACTTATGTTTAAAGGTAAAGACTCTTTTACAGGTATTTCAACAGCTCAAAATACAGGATTTAGAAGAYGGGGGAGGGATAGAGGGATAGGATGAATGTCTAGTTATGGTGATTTTGAAAACCTCTCCAGAAGTTTGAGACACCTAAGTATCTTTAAAATGGAGACCTCATTTCTTTCCCTGAGAGCATGATTTTTGAGTCCAGTTTCTAACCATAACAGGTTGAATATTAATAATAAAAAAAGGCATTAGTGTGACTTTGTATTGAGGATTAGCTGTCCAAGATCATTTTTAGCCTGGAGAAATAAAGTTAAGCTTTATTTATATAAGGCTGATTTGGAAAAAAAWAGTTTCTTCCCACAGGATCGTTGGAAAGAGGCAAATTTAGAGAAGAATGCTTTCTTGGACTGCTTTGTGGCATTCGGAGGAGGGAAGCATCAGTGTCCAGGAAGGTCAGTGAAAAAGCTGGGGTTTATTTATTCCCAAACCCTGCAAARAACAGCTCTCTTGAACTGGGCTCCTCTTACACTTAGAGATAAAGTGTTTTCATTGCTTTGCTCTCTGTTAGCGCCCTAATGCTCAGCATTAATCTGGACCTTGCCCAAACCGATTTGAAAGTGTTTTTATTCCTGGAAAAGGCAGTTTAAGCCATGATATAAAAGCAGAGTCTGAGAATCTGAGACTAGTGTATCAAAAGATCCACTGGGACCTTTTCTCCACAGGGAAAAATATCAGCTTGGCTCTGCTCTTTCTGGGGCACCTTTTCAATTACAAGCACGCTAGTTTATACGCACAAGCATTTAGGTTGCCATAAAACACTTACMAACTAACATAACGAACATTTCTTTGGTCTGAGAGTTTCTTCTCATCCTCCCTGATGCCATTAACATCTTCACCCATCATCAGAAGCCCTGATCATTGGTTCCTCTGTGTTTAAATCTCTTCTTTTTGCACTAGGGGCCATACAACTGAATGAAGGCTTAAATATCAAAAGGTGCCTCTCAGGTCTCCTCCAGAGAGAGGTCTGGTCTCCAACCTTGATGCTTCTTGCAATCTTTATGCTATTTTCTCTGCCGTCCCTCTTCCTGGAACAAGTCTCAGGGAGCCAGCTGCTCCTTTTTTTTTTCTGCGTTCAGACATTTCTACATTCAAACGTAATTTTTTTAGGAACCAAGAAACCTTAAACCAAGTTAGCTTAACTCAGGAGTCCCACCTAGAGTGAGGAATTCAGAGGGCGTCATAAAGGATTTGTGGTGTTCTGCACCACAGTGCAGGCTATGAATGTTAGAAACATTTTGTGAAGATGTAGAAGACACAGGCTCCAGGAGCAGAACTGTGTTCCCCATTCAGGCTTGCCCCTGGAAACCGCTCACTCACTGCTCTGCCTCTATGGCTTTTCTTTTGCTAGATACAAGCCCAGCCTCCTTCCCAGAAATGGCAATAGGAGAATTCACAGGAGACGTCCACAGCTGCAGGACAAGCTGCAAAACAATACTGCTGAACACAGTTTGCTTATATRTACCGACCTATTTCTTGTTTCAGACTGTTCTCTGAATTCAGCTACTAGTTGTAAAATAAGTTTGTGATCAAAAAGAAATGGATAAATGTTTCTACACAGGATCTTTTATTTGCTGAAAGACAAAAAGTCTTTTCAAACCCTTTTACTAGGCCACATGGTGACATATGCCTTTGCGTTTTGCCGCTAATAATGCTAAAAGGACTTTTTCCAGGTGGCCTTGGAAAAAAAGGAAATAAATGAAAAGATGTATCTGGACCCCAGTTTGCAGATTCCCTTAGCATAACTGAGTTGAACAAGATTTTTTCGAATTAAAGGTGATTCTTCATTTAAGTGGATACTGACATTTAGTATATGATATTTTAAACTATTTCTTCTTAAATTGCAGAAGTTCAACATGAAATTAAATGCTAATTTAATTAAAGCTAAAATTAACATCCTTGTTAAATATTCTAGCAAACTGACATGAGAAGAGTTCCCACAAAGCTATTTCCACCCTGTCTTTATTACCTAGGGATAAGATTCGTTGGCAACGGAGGACTTTTACCACAACACTTTTGTCCGAGTAGGTAACTATCACCTGGATGATTGCACTAAACATATGCATCTCTCTGTTGTCTCCTCTAATATGCTGCAAATATAAATTCTTCAGCACAACAGCTCTGATTTTATTCTCAGATTCCATTTAATTTGACTACTTTGACTTTATGCATTTACTGCAAGATCTCAATCCACAGTTGGCCTCCTAGATTGCAACGTGACACAAATACATAATAATGCATTGTACACAATATTTTAGGGAGTATTTCCCTGTGAAGTCCCTTGGTCATTAAATAAAACAGGAAGACATCAGTGACTCAGAAATTTTAGGGGAAAACTACTGTAGAACTCAATCATGAATATGAGAATCCAGTGGGAACTGAGGAGCATTCAACTGCAGGAGAGCCCATAGGTTCAGCTCCCTAGAAGTTTGGGACTCAGGCATCCTGCTTTCCTCTTCTAGAGGAGATGTGGCCTGCTGGCAAGCCACAGACTGCCCTTGTGTCTCAGCAGCTCTCTTTGYAGAGTAGAATAACTACAGATTAACCCAATCACAGAGGTAACTGGGAGCTGTTGGGGCTGGTTAGCCCACATTCAGCTTTGAAGGAGGACCCTCAAAGAGCAGGTCTTTCACTTGCAGGGCCATGTGGAGGCAATTTGATTGCCTCCACACACCTTCAACAGGCAACATGGTCCCATTCATGTCACGGCTTGGTGTGTCCAAGCTAMTGCAGTGAGAGTGTTTCAGCGACAGGAGGGAGCCCGTCTTGGTCCGGTGTTGCTGGCGTTGAACTGGGCCTGAGACCTGCCTGAGCTCATTTTTATTGAAATATCCCTGTGCTGCAGGCTCAAGGTCACAAGATGTTGCCTATCTCAAGGCAACTGCAATGTGAAATCGCAGAGAGAGTCGGGGTTTGCGGCTGTGCCAAAGACAAGCAGACATCCTCCCACCCGGRAGCACAGGGCAGCTCCGTGCAGAGGTCCGAGCGGCTCTGCAGGACCTGCCCTGGGTCTCTTGGGCTTTATTAGCTTCTCCTTCACACCTGCCAGGACAAATCCACACTGACACCTTGTGAAATCATGTGGTCTTCTCCACGGTGCATTCTCCGGTTTGTGTTTTATCCAAGTTCTCCAGAATCTCTCAGATAATGGAAAATTAGCTGTGTAGAAGGGCAAGGTACTGTTACAGTTTTGATGAGGTATTTAACACATATGTCTAAATTGCACAAATGAGTAATTCTATAACTTGACGTGTGAGCTAGTGTCTGAATGCAGAAAGTTCTTATTTGTCTCTAAAGTAAAAAACAAGAGTCTAGAGGACTTCACCTGTGGTCATCTGGGATCTTCTCCAGACTGACTAAGGAAGAGCTTTCTAAGTATGCTACAGAAATAAAAAAATCATACCCTTGGGTCTCATACTGCATCCTAATGCTGACACATTAAATAACAACTCCCACTGTCACAGCTACTCTGATGTCATCAGGCTCCCAGCTGTATTATATAACTTTATATAGAACAAYTAGTCATATAGCTTTTTCTATATTTGACTTTCCTCTAACTCCTATGAAGTTATTTCAAGTCAGCAAGTGTCGGAGGAACATAAATGTGTACACTGTGGAAAAAAACATAATGAAAAAGATCTGTTTTAAAATAGGGTGGCAGGGGGATACATTAGCTCTCGAATTTCACTGGAAAGAAGGGACAGCCTCTACATTCTTGTCCTTCACTGACTAATAAAGTAGAACAAAACCACAGCTGATTTTCCTATTGCAAATGAACCTTCAGGTGGAACTAAAGCATGGAATGTAAAAGGGGCAAAAGACATCCTGCCTCTTCCCTGCTAACAGGTAACATGTGTGATGGGCATGCTGGACATCCACTGTTTTTCTCCTTTTTCCTGCAGGTGGTTTGCTATCATGGAAATCCAGCTGTTTGTTGTGCTTTTCCTATACAAATATGAGTTTGTTCTTTTGGATTCAGTACCAAAGGAGGTAAATGTTCTGTGCCTTTATTTAACATTCCACTTCTTTTAATCCTTCATTCACTGTGCTGAGCTTAACAGCCACGCTCAACTCTGCTTACCTATGAGGAAGTAAAATGCTATTAGGCGTTTTGCAAAACACACAATTAATAATCCTGACATCATTTTTACTCAGAAAATCCAGGGTGGCTCCAGTGATGCTAAGTGGGCTGCTTCATGTATAAAAGAATGCGTCAAAGAGAGTATTTTGCCTCATTGCCTAAATATTTTAAGAGGCTTTTCATTACTTTCTGCAACTCACAAAAGCAATGAATATGGAATTGGATTAATAACACCTTGAGGCTGACATGAAATCAGAGGCAGTGATCTCAAAACAGTGCTACCAGTGCCCTTACTTACATATTCTGTGGCGAAAGAGAAACRGGTTGGGATAAGACTGAAGGAATGACCGTCATACAGAGGGGTTTTACATGTAAGAAGGTGGCATGGTCTCCCAAGTACTTCCTCCTCTCTCCTCACAGTAATTTTGCACCGTGTCCTTCCTGCTTTCCAGAGAACTGTTCCTCACCAGCATGAGCACTGCAAAAGGAGCACACCTACATGTCACARCCCAACATGCTCCACTAAGGAGAAGAGGGAGGTGTTTGGAGTGACATGTAGTTTGGAGGGACATGTAAAGAAAAACTCTGTAGAGTTGCTGTTTAAGTAGAAAATTGGGAGAACTCAATTGAGAGGAGGAACTCAGCTGTTCTCAAAGATCATGAGATGTTAATCTCAAGCACTGATAGGAAGTCCATCCAAAATAAGGATGAAGGTTACCTCTTCAGACTGATGATGTGCTGCCATGCCTCTTCTCACTGGAGCTGATTGTAAGGTGGGTCTGCATCCGCAGGAAATTGTGGCAGTGAAGTCCATTCAAAGTCAGCAGAATTTCAGAAGGCCTCATATACTATCCTCTGTCAGAGCAAGTGGAACCAAAAGCAGTCACAAAGGCCCTGTTTGGTGCCTTCAGTGGAGCTAAGAAATACTSTCTGGATTGGGTCGTGAGTCTCTCAGATTAAAGCTCTGAGAAACTGTATTTATAATGTTATGAGTAAATTAAGAAGGTAATTCTGTTAACTAAATAAAATTAAATGTTTCTATTGCTCTTTTGCTTTTTGCAGAGCCCTTTACATTTGGTGGGGACACAGCAACCCATGACGCCATTCCGGGTCCAGTATAAACACCGGGAGTGAAAGCTGACCAGTTTGCCCACTTGTCTTCCTTTGCTGGCCACCATCAGACGAATGGGCCACTGAGCTCCTTCTTTTTGGAATATCCTGCATGTTCAAATATATATTATCACAGTTAAGAACTGTTAAGAAGTTAAGGGAAGTCTTAACTTTAAGTGCTGTAAACACCCTGTGCTGTGGTATGGCAGGCCAGCGTGGGGGACAGGTCCCRCCTGAGATTTCCACTGCACAGGATTCAGAATCAGTCCGTGCATGAATATGCCGTGATAAGTTGATCATAATGTTTGGCTCCTAATGAACAGCCATAGCAAGAAAAGACATTGCTATTTGTCAAATTATTTGTCACAATTCTGTAACACTTTTGCTTTTCTTCTAACCTGCCTTCTAAAACAACTTACACAAAACTAAAAATAGTTAATCCTATAAAGAGTGTCTAGTAAAAGTTGTTCTAGGGAGCTGTCAGATAAGTTCAGATATCAACACTTTAACTGCTGTCAGATTTCATATTCCATAAGAGCTGTTATATATTTTTAGTCTTTTAAGTAAAGATTACTCATCATTTTATAAGTATTTTCAAAAACACGTATATGGACTTTTAACAACAGCAAAAACAATGAGAATAACATTCATAATAATATATCAGTTTGATGCATAAATTTGTACCCTTATATCAGACATTTGTTTACAGGTTTTGTGACTGGACAAGGATTCACCCAACTTCTAAGCTAGCTCGTGATGAGCTGTTCAGTAACTGTAAACTGTTCATTTTTTTCCATGTGCAGTTATTACCCCAAAGCATATATTTTTACTTTAAAATTTGGAAATGTCCTCAATATCTGGTCAGATATCTTGTAAATCTGTGTAGATAAAAATTTATTTTCCAATAAGTATTTCTTTTTTAATCTTGTGTTTAGTCAATTTGTTGCTTCTTCCCTCCCGCAAAAATTCTGAAATGGCAAGTTTGACCTTAAAGTAAAAGATCCCTAAAGGGAAAGTATAACCTAAAAGGTAGCATCCGTTTGGTTAAAGTGGATCAGAAGCATTTGAAAGCAACCGTGAGTATTTGCTAACACGGGTGGGTTCTGATGTGTCCTAAAAGCAGGCACGGATCTGGTGTGGCTTCTGCGTGTTGCTCATCCTATCAAACCCAATGTGATGATGTCTTGTGCCCATGGGAGCCACCGCATCCCGTAGGAGGACCCTGTGGGCAAGGTGTGGTGAAAGTTTGGGCCCTGTGCACATGAAAGAGAGCACGGAGCAACGGTAGCAGTAGGGAGAGCCCAAAAAACATCCAATGTGGCCCCTACCAAGGCTGGAGAACCTTGGAGAACCTTCTGTCCTGCTGCCCTGACTTATGTGGCGTCTACAAGCAGAAAATGGAGGCTTTCTGTAGCCACCAAGGCACCAGAAAAGCAGCTGAAGAAAAGACCTTTTGGCTGTCTGTGGAGTCCCATCACCATGTGCTTGGCCTGGAACGTGTCAGCTCCGTGCATTTCCCATGCTTTCCTAGGTGGAAAAAGTAAGTGAGGGGAACTAGTAACGTGATGTGGTTGTCAAGTAATAAAAGCTAAATGGGCTCTTCTGCCTGGAAGTAATTCAGAAGCTTCTGGGGAGGAGATGAAAGTACTTTATCACTGAGATAGTGTTAAAGGGATCTGAGGGGTCATCACAATGCCCTGCTGAGGATTAGATTAAGAGTCTAAATCATACTTCTTCAAATGTTTGCTCGATCTGTTCCTAAAACAGCTCTGCAGTGCTGATGCTGCACRGGTGATTCGTTCTTTTACCCGGCTCTCCCTAAGATTAGAAAGCTTYTTATGTCCAGAACAAAATTCCCTATTACCACATACGTTTGTTCCTCTGTATCCTCTCCTAAACGGACATGGGAAGCAGCTTATCTTTTTCTTCCTGGCAGCTTCTTACGTGCAGGGACCCGGTTGCTAATGGGATGAAGAAACRTGCCGCAAAGGTAGGCTGCGAAATCCAGCGCTTGCAGCCAACAATTTCWTCTTTGGGGTGAGCAGAGACTGCCTGTTAGTTGAGCCCAAGAAAAAAAACATGAGGGACATCTGTGAATTTTGTTTGTTGTTTCTTCTTCTAGGTAGAAATGCTTTTTTTTTTGTTTTATTTTTCTGATGATATCAAGCACTTTCTCTCTAGGGATTGGGGCATTATAGACTCGTACGCAACCTGCTGCACTCACAGGAGAGATGGTGCTGACTGCAGCGAACCTCGGACCTGGCGCTGGCTCTGTTGCTGGTGGGAGGAATCTTTCATGACAAATTCTTCTCCCAGTAACAGCCCAACTTCACCCGACTCTGGTAAATCTGCACTTCTATATTTGGAGACAGATGTTTAACATTTTATTCATAATAATACCACAGGGACATACAAAGCAGAAATTTTTTAAACTTACCAAGAAATATAAATATATATATACACACACATCTATCTATCTATCTCTCTATCTCTCTATCTCTCTATCTATCTATCTGTCTTTTCACTTCTACCTTCTGTATGAAATATGGATATTAAATACAATGTTGTGGAGCAGCCCATGAAACTGTCTCCGAAAATGCAGCTCTTTCCCTTCCAAACACACCACAGGCAAACCTACCTTCATACTGGAATAAGAAGCTTCTTTTCTGAATCGGTAAAACAAATGGCTAGAATCTCTTAAAGACAGAAAGGAAATCTAGAATTAGGAGAAGTGTGCTATAAAACTTCTTTTACTTTGAATTTTCTTCAATAATTGTTGGGCCTTGTTGTGTAACAGGGAAGAGTTTCAGGAAAAAAAGTACCATGTTGCAGCAAAATATTCTCAATGTTTTTGAGGAAGCTACAAATATTTTCATTGAAATCATGCATTTCCTGTGAAAAAAAAAGCATCTGACAGAAAACTCATCAAGTTTGAATTAAAATTGTTGACCTACTGCAAGTGAATGTTCTCTGGTCCATGTGGTGAAAAGATAACCTCTGTATCAGCCACCACCTCCCAGAATAACCTCAACTTCTTTTATGTCTTCTCTCTAATGACCCTCCCYGAAGGTCCCTCTCATCTGTGCTTAGAGGTCAAGTATTTCAAGCAGTTTCTTTCCTTGCAGTGGTGATGGGATTCTGTATCTTTTCTGTGCAGCYGATTGTCACAGCAACCAGAAGTTTGGGCATAGCACATATATCTCTTGGAGAGAGATGTCTGAGGACTCAAAGATAGGGCTGTAGCCTTGAGAGGTTAGCTAAAAATAATGACTTCCTTTAGAAAACAAGCGAACGAGTTTGAAGGCCCTCACACTGTGCTCTGCTTAGGTGCTTGTGCCAAGCAAAACTTGTCTTAAGCCTGTGTTGTGCCTTAAGCAAACACCTTATTGATTTGCACACTAAGAATGGGTTTCAGCTTAAGCACAGCTCAAGCGCTTTGCTGAATCAGGGTCCAAACGCCTTCCTTGCTAACCGTTTGTTTGCAGTTAGTCTTGGCATCTGCAATGTGATTTTAWGTGATTTTATGCAAGGTTAATGGAATTACTGAGGTGGCTCTGTTCCTTTGAGGTGAAACCAGCAAACATGAAGCGCTTTTAGGAAGGACATTTTTTAAACAGCTACATTTATAGCACAAAACAGGAGGCTTCCTTGGCAGCAAGCATCTTTCCCAGTTATTTGGTACATTCTAAACGTGTGGCTCATCACATGGCAGAAAATATTTCCTCTCYGCTGGTATGCAGTGGAAGGGGAATTAGACACAAGAAAGGCATTCAAAAGATAGCAAGCTTTTAATTGAAACAACCAAGGAGAGGCTTTCATCGGGTAGCCGTTCTGAATGACATTGGCCATGCAACTGATTGGCACAGCCTTATTTTTTTTTTTTCACTTTGATCATAAAATTACTAGGAAAGGCTTAATAGAGTTATAAATATCTTGTTTCCATGAGAGTCCTGGGAAGATAATTATAGCACCACAGTCTTTACAAAGATAGAGCATTTACAAAATGATATTATCTGAGGACTCCAATGGATAAGGCAGGGAATTCTGTGTTCTATTCCCAGCTCTGCTATTGACTCACTGTGCACTTTGGGCAAATCGCTTCATCCCCTAGTGACTCAGTTTCCTCATCTATAAATTGCATTAATAATGATAATTACCAACGTCTGCGAAGTCTAGGAATTAAAAGTTCAAAGTACTGCTTACATGCATCAAAACACTGAAAACTCTGCTTGGTAGTAACAAATGTCTGTGAGGCTTTGGGTAAATTATGCCATTTCCTGAATTGAAAATGTCTTATTTGTGTCACTRATAAATTAGATTACTTGTAGATGTACAGGCAAAACATTAAGGAGAAATAAAAAGGGTGCGCTAAGAGGTTCAAAGATACTAATGAAATGGCTGCATTCTAAAATCTTCAGAAATATTTTTAATTCAAAGGTTGCATTAAGAAGAGCATTGCTTTATGGAGAAGCCTCTTGTTGAGCAAAAAGCACAATACTGGTTCATAAAATCAAACACAAAATTAAGTAAACATCAGAAGAGTTTAATATRGAAGTATTGTGCAAATATTATGGTTAAATCTTTGTGGCTTTGGAAAATACAAGGAAGGAAGGAGAGGTCATGGCAAAGGAACACACAGCTCAACCAGAGCTCCAGTGGGTCACCAGGTCTGAAGGGGATAATGTGGTTTCTGGAAAAGTGAACTTCTGTCGTCTCCCTTTGATACTATTGAAACAGCAGTGGCTGCAATTTCAGGGGCTGTTGATAAATTTGAGGGGGATCAGAGCTGAATCAGAAGGTTGATAAAAATATGGTAAATCATGTAAACAAAGTAGTAAAAACTCTCAAGGCAATCTGTTTAGCTTGAGAAAGGGAGTGCTAAGAAGTGACTTGAGCACAGGCTGTAGATGTAGGAGCTGAATAATGGATGGATTCTCCACCCTTGGGAAATTGCTGTGTTTTTCTCCGATACACTTAAGTGAAAGGTAACAAATGCCCTTTTGAAATGAGGTAAAAATACAGAGCGTAAAAGGGAATTGTTTTACACCCACGTGCACTGAGATTTCTGTATTGATAGTTCTGAAAACAACATGGCATGTTTTCCTAAAGCTGAGGCTTTGGATCTGGGGTCTGTGCACTTCTGGGACAGGGAGAGGAGAAGGCAGCAATCATGGATAATTTTTGAAGTGTCTGCAAAAGGCAAATCACAAAAGTAGCCTTTTACTCTGAAGACCTGAATTCCCTACACAGGGAATGACGATTTCCATAAAGGAACTTTTAGGGAGTCCCACAAAGGCTGAAAACATTTGGGGTTTTTTTTGAGAGCATGATATTCATCATCCAAGGAAGAGTTTGGAGCTACTTACCAAAAGACACTTAATTAGGAAGGGGCGAGAGGTGGCATTTGCTGTTTCTTGGCTCAGTCACCAGTGATTTCTGGGAATACCAGATCCTGAAGTGCCAAGCGAGGGTCTGGACATGTAGCACTGCCAGTCTCCTCTTGCTCTGGGGTCTCGCGTCGGCACAGTGTGCTCCAAGCAGAAGGCAGGGCTGCTGCTTCCTTAGCTGAAGTTCCAGTTGTGATGAGACTCAATTCTTTTTCAGCTAAACACAAAAGTTTCAATGTGCTCGTAGTGTTGGGCTTTGCTGATACAGATCCACAGGCAATTTCAAGGCATTTTATCTTGTCGCAGTTCTGAAAACCATTATTACTCCTCAAAGCCTAAAGTATGCCC